ACCCAGGCATGTGCCCTGACTGGGAATCGAACCGCGATCGTGTGGTTCGCAGGCCCGCGCTCAATCCACTGAGCTACACCAGCCAGGGCTTTAAAAACTTTTTGATGACTTCCAGCCCAGATGGAGGCGTAGGTAGAAATACTTTGCCTCCTTGCACAACCAAAAGAAGGACAACAACCAATTTAAAAACAAAAATGACCAGAACTGCCAGAAAAACGAACTGTATGGAAGTCTGAAACCAAGGAGTTAATGAAAAAACATTCATTCAGACAGGTAGGAGGAGAGATGGGCAGTTAAGGGTGGAGAGGGCACACAGCAAGGTGGCGGCTGGTGCACTGCGGGGGGTCCACAGTTACATGCGGATAAACTGGGAGGAACTGGGGAGAGACAGACTGTGCAACACAGGGTTCCAGTGTGGGTCTTCCGGAATAAAGCCTCAAAACCTCTGGCTGTAGCCCTGGCTGGTATAGCTCAGTGGACTGAGCACAGGCTGTGAACCAAAGGGCTGCCAGTTCGATTCCCAGTCAGGGTACATGGCTGGGTTGTGGGCTGTGTCCCCAGTGAGCAGTGCACTAGGACCCAGTGCAGCCACTGGGAGGACCCATTGGGAGGCAGCCATATGTTGATGTTTCTCTCCCTCTCTTTCTCCTTGCTTTCCCCTCTCTCTAAAGAAATAAAATTAAAAACAAAAACTCTGGCTGTAAAAACCTGTGGGGGTTGCAGCGGCAGCAGGAGAAACTCCCAGCCTCATAAGAGAGTCCGTTGGAGGGACCCATGGGGTCCTAGAACATAAAGAAACCCACCTACTCAGGAATCAGCACCAGAAGGGCCCAATTCGCTTGTGGATAGTGGGGGAAGTGACTGAAAGTGGGGTGAGAGCCAAGCAAGTAACACTGTTCCCTCTCTGACCCCTCCCCCACATACAGTGCCACAGCAGGAAAGTGGCACTCACAAATGAGGCTCTGCCCCTTACAGTATAACAAGTGCACCAAGACAAAGAAACATGGCCAAAATAAAAAAGCAGATCAAAGCTTCAGAAAAAGAACTAACCTGTCAGATGCAGAGTTCAAATCTCTGGTAATCAGGATGCTCACAGAACTGATTGAGTATAGAGGCAAAATAACAGAAGAAGTGAAGGCTATGCCAAGTGAAATAAAGAAAAATATACAGGGAACCAATAGTTAAGGGAGAGAAACCAGAACTCAAATTAACGATTTGGAGCAGAAGGAAGAAACATTCAACCAGAACAGAAAGAAGAATTAAAAAAAAAAAAAAAATGAGGAGAGGCTTCGGAACCTCCAGGACATCTTTAAACATTCCAACATCTGAATCATAGGGGTACCAGAAGGAGAAGAGGAAGAGCAAAAAATGGAAAACTTACTTGAAAAAAATAATCAAAGATTATTTTTGGCAAAGGAATAGACTTCCAGGAAGTCCAGGAAGCTCAGAGAGTCCCAAACAAGCTGGACCCAAGGAAGCACACACCAAGGTACATCATAATTACATTACCCAAGGTGAAAGACAAGGACCTTAAAAGCAGCAAGAGAAAGGAAGACAGTCACCTACAAAGGAGTTCCCATCAGACTGTTAGCTGATTTCTCAAAAGAGACCTTACAGGCAAGAAGGGGCTGGAAAGAAGTATTCCAACTCATGAAAGGCAAGGAAGGACCTACATCCAAGATTACTCTATCCAGCAAAGCTATCATTTAGAATGGAAGGGCAGGTAAAGTGCTTCCCAGATAAGGTAAAGTTCAAGGAGTTCATTACCAAGCCCTTATTATATGAAATGTTAAAGGGACTTATCTAAGAAAAAGAAGATCAAAACTATGAATAGTAAAATGGTAACAGACTCACAACCATCAACAATGAACCTTAAAAAAACAATAAAAAATGAAAACAAACTAAGCAAACAACTAGAACAGAAACAGATTCACAGAAATGGAGATCACATGGAGGGTTATCGGTGGGGAGGAGGAGGGAGGAGAATGGGGGAAAAGGTATAAGGAATAAGAAGTATAATTGGTAGGTTCAAAATAGACAGTGGGAGGTTAAAAATAGCATAGGAAATGGAGAAGCCTAAGAACTTCCATGTATGATCCATGGACATGAACTAAGGTGGGGGGTGGGGGAGAATACTGGAGGGAGGGGGGTGCAGGGTGGAGGGGGATAAAGGGCAGAAAAAAATGGGACAACTGTAATAGCATAATCAATCAAACATGCTTTAAAAAATTTAAAAAAACCTTTTTGATAAGCAAATGTTTAAATATTCATGAAAGTAGAGAACATCATGCCCCAGCTGGTGTGCCTCAGTGGATTGAGTGCAGTCCTGTGAACCAAAGGGTCGCTGGTTCAATTCCCAATCCAGAGCACATGCCTGGGTTGCAGGCCAGGTCCCTGGTAGGGGGCATATGAGAGGCAACCGCACACTGATATTTCCCTCTCTTTCTCCCTTCCTTCCCCTCTCTCTAAAAGTAAATAACATCTCCTGGCTGGTGTAGCTCAGTGGATTGAGCTCGGGCCTGCGAACCAGAGGATAGTGGTTTGATTACCAGTCAGGGCACATGCCTGGGTTGCAGACCAGTTCCCAGGAGGGGATGCACGAGAGGCAACCATACATTGATATTTCTCTCCCTATCTCCTTCCTTTCCCCTCTACAAATAAATAAATAAAACATTTAAAATAAATAAATAAAATCTTAAAAAAAAAAAAGTAGAGAACATCAGCCCATGTACCCATTACCCAGGTTCAACAATTACCAACATACAGCTGATCATTTTCATCTATAAGCCAGCACACATCTCCCTAACACCCCACTTCCAATTTTTAAATATTTGTTCCACTTTAGCTATGTCCCTTGACCTCTCAACATCTGCTTCATCTGCTTCCTGGTTTTTCAGTTTGGAATCAGCGTTCTTCCCTCCTCTTCCCGTTTCTTCTCCTCTTTATTCTTCTACTTTTTGATACCACATCCAGACAACCCAAGCTCCATGAAGAATTTTACAAAGTGAGAGCGAGAGCAAAATTCATTAAATTTGTGGGCTTTAGAGAGACCAAGTTTGAGTAAGATATACAGTACACTTCAAAACATCCAACAAGTTCTGTCTCTTCTTCAATTTAGCACTTCCTTCCAACAGCCACTGCTTTAGGTCCTGTTTTCATAACTCCCTACCCGTACTTCTCTATCCTTCTTAAATCTTCTTTCCTTCAAGCTGGAAGAGACAGTGTCCTAAAATATCTCCTGATCATGTCACCCCCTGCTTAAAAACGCTTGAAAGATCCCTAACAACTTGCATAGACACTCCAGTGTGGCTCCAGGTCCTTTCACTACCTGGCTCTTGCCTACCTCTAGTGTCATCTCTCCCCAAACCCTACGCCCAACAGCTGTTCCCCTGGTCACACGGCTCATCTTTTGTACACACTGTTCCTCTGCTTGTCTTCATCTAGTAACTCCCACTATGCCTTCAAGGCCACTCAAACCTGATCTCCCCTTTTCTACTGCTCCACAATTACTGAACCACAGGTAATAAACCATGGCCACCAAACTAAGCCACTGCTGACCCACAGAAACTGTCAGATAGTGTTTGAATTTGTGGATGAAAAAAAGTAATAAAGAGCATTATATGAGACAATAGAGGACCAATAAGACCCCACCCACCACCACGTTTCCAAATCCTGATGATCTCATTTAAGCCCTTGGGCCCAGCTGTTTCTGGTCCCCTGGACTTTCCTGTATGAAAACCAGTGGAATCCTTCCATAGTTTGAACTAGTTTTAATGGACTCTTGACACTTGGAGCCAAAAGCACTGCAGTCAATGCAACACGGAACCAGAAAACCAGTTAAATGCCCTAATAAATGTCCAAATGATACCAGGGTCTCATTTCCTATGTTTCATCCTTCCCTGCTCTGTGTTTTCTCTTTAGCATGATCCATATTTTGCTTTTTATCTTATTTAAAAATAAAATAAAAATAGCTATGTAGAATTAAGTTCCTTGAGGACAAGAATTCTGTGTTTTGTCCAGTGCTATATCCTCAGCACTCCTCTGCACCTAGAACTATGCCTGGCACCCACAGACACTCAGTACTTGTTGAGTTAATCTAAGCTGCCACAGGCTGTAAAACTATCATGAAAGAAGTGGTGACATCTGGAGGTGGCATGAGAAAGACATTAGCAGTCAGTACTTGGAGATGAGCACAAAACACAAGCTCCTCAGCTGAAATCACAGGGTTTCTTAAAGAAAAGCAAGAAACCGCAATGGCCTATCCTGATTAACTTATCATTCTGCTCCAGGGCGAACTCTCTTTGCTAGCTATCAGCCAATCATTTCAAGGAGGTGGTGGGAACTCTTTCACAGACGACAGCGTTCTTTTTTCCTTTTTAACTCTGCCTTACTTTTGTTCAGTAAGACCGACTAGACATGAGTGATCTTTCCTACAAATGAGTAAATATCAGCTGAGCTTTGGGTGACTTTGCCAGTTTGTTTAACAATATCCTGACAAAAGGACATGACTCTCTGACCCATGACTCTTCTCATGGACATTCTGTTTTAGTATTACTATGTTTGTTTAGTTAAGCGACCCTGTCTGGGTGCTGCCTGCACCCTCAAGAGCATAAGTAGTAATGGCTATTTTACCCGTGCAGGCAACACGGGGTCGGAAGTTTCCTACTGGGAGTTGAGTCCTGTCTTTGGGGGAAACGGGCTCAAACTCAACGCGACTTAAGTTCAGGCTGCGGAAATCGGACTTGCTGACCCTCTGGGGCTGGAAGGGCCAGCGGAGCTGGCTGGCCCCAGCTTCTGCAGAAGCCTGTCCACCCGCACCTATGAACGGACACGCGTGGGTTTGAATACCAAGGGGAGGTGGGCGCGAGCTCGAGCGAGCTCCTTCGGGTCTGGGGTCTCCTGGGAGCCTGGGTCGCCGAGGGTGAGAAACCAGGTGTAGAGTGAAGAGGAGGGGCCCCGTGTAGAACACGCGCGAGAAGTACAGGCCCGTCTTCACTCACCTGCCCCCGAGCCCTCCAGTCAACACCACCGGTGCCGGCTCCGCCACTGGCCCTCCTCAACCTGCCCCCTATCATCATTTCCGGCCTGCGGGGACACGGGCGGAAGTGCGCTGGAGTAGGCTCCACCTCCTGGCTGGCCTCAGTTGCTAAGCAACGCGCATTTTGGCTACGCCCCGCCGGGGCTCTGATTCTTGGGCCCTCCGTCCCAGTCCCTTTTGGGCGAGGCTGGCGCGGTTGGCGGGGCTGACGGATCCAGCAGATCCAGGTGTATATCTGGCGGCGGGGTGAGTCTCCAGTCGCGCTTGAAACCGTAGTGCGCGTGGGGATCCAGCGCCACGTGAGTGGGCAGTCGCCACAACCTATACCTGGCCTTGTCATTTCGGTGCGTTTGAAATCGTATCTGCTTGTGGTTTTATTCTCATTCCATGATTATTAAACTCACCTTTCTGCATGTTTATTTGTCAAGACATTTTCTCTTTTCTGGTCCAGTTTTCTGTTGAATGGTTTGCTTTTTTATTGTTTCTTAGCACTCTGTTTTGGATATTACATTTTTGTCAGTGATTTGTGTTGTAAGTACGTCAGTTTGCTTCTTTTCATTTTGTAGTGCCTTTTGACGAACAGAAGTTTGTATTTTAATACAGAAAAATGTATCTTTCACAATGAGTACGTTTTAATTTTTCTTTTTTTTAATTTAAAAAGTATTTCATTAGCCCTGGCTGGTGTAGCTCAGTGGATTGAGCGTGTTCCTGTGAGCCAGACAATCGCGGTTCAATTCCCAGTCAGGGCACATACCAGGGTTGCAGGCCGGTTCCCTGCAGGCCAGTTCCCTGCAGGCCAGTTCCCAGCAGGGGACTCACGAAAGGCAACCGTACATTAGTGTTTCTCTCCGTCTCTCCTTCCCTTCCCCTCCAAAAAAGATAAATAAATAAAATCTTTAAAATAAATAAATAAAAAGTATTTCATTTATTTATTTTTAGAGAGAGAGGGGAAGAGAGGGAGAAGCCAGCCCACAACCCAGGTATGTGCCCTGACCAGGAATCAAACCAGTGATGTTTTGGTTTGCAGGCCAGTGCTCCATCCACTGAGCCACACCAACCAGGGCTAATTTTTCTTTTTAATCCTCACCAAGAGAAACATCCTTGTTACCGCTCACTCGTGTCCCCCCGGGTATCAAAACCACAACCTTTTGGTGTACAGGATGACACTCCAACCAAATGAACCACCCTGCCAAAACTATGGTTAGTACTTTCTGTGTCCTGTTTGAGGAATCCTGCCCTACCCCAAGTTATTCTTTTCTAATGGTCTTAAATTCAGTTTGGAATAGATTCAATGTGAGGTAAGGAGATAATTATTTTTTCCGTTTAAATAACCAGAAGTCCTGGTACCATTTACTTTAATTTTCTTTCTGAATGACATCCTTTATAAATGCCCTTAGTGCATTTAATTGTTTTACTTTCAGTTCCCCAGAAAGTAGAGCTTGACGCATGTGCTGCTACTTTATGAAGGGTTTTGGTACCAGGGAATTAGGACTTGGGGCTAAAGGAGTGAGGTGTAGAAGGAGGGGGCGCAAACAAGAGTGAGTTAATGAGCTGGCCACTGTTTGGTCTCAGGCACTCTGGATTGTTGGCTTTCCTCATTTGGTCTCCCACGAGGCTACAGACCACCGAACGGTGTCTCAGGATAGCCAGTGGGGGCAAGGAGTGTGTATAGGAGGAAACACAAATCCGTCCACCAGATTTCACCTCCAGTTGGACCAAGTTTGTTTTGCCTCACAGAATATAACTTTTTTGTGTCTCTGAGTTGCACATGTGTATTCATGCCAGGCCTAAGTGACAATCGGTAAGCCCCTGGGTGGGACAAGGACAAATGCCACAAAGTCGTCAGTGAGAGAAATGATGAGATGTCAGTATCAGGGTCTGTGGTCAGGAGTCTGCAAAAATGGCTGTAGGAAATTCTTCACATCTTTGTACACACAAGTGCTTCCTGACATTGAAAAGTAGTATTTGTTTCACCTCCCCTTCAATCTGCATTGGCCTTTTCACTTGCTTTGGCTAACAGATAATGGTAAGAGTAAAGTTCTAGGGTTTAAGCTTAGACCTTAAAAGGATCGACAGCTTCTACTCTCCCTGGTGGCTGTCAGCCACCAGACTGTGCAGCAGCTGGGGCTGGGTTGCTGAATGACATCTCAGGTACAGAGACAGAGGCCACGTGGAGGACCAGAGGGGCCAGGCATGTCAAAGAAGCCTTCTTGGACCTTCACTCAGCCCAGTCTCACATAAGCAGTTTTGTGGACCTGTCAACACCACCCAGTGCTGAAGAGCCCAGCTAAACCCTGGCTGAATTCCACAGAATCATGAGAAGTAATAAATCATTTTGTTTCACACAGTTGAGGTTTTAAGTGGCTTGCTACATAGAAATAAACATTTGACCTGCTTTACTGTTACCGAACAAGAGGTCCGAGGGAGGGGCAATACAATATTTGGCCCACCTAGGGATGCCCAAAACTGCTATACAACAGGGGCCCCTCCCAAAAACAAAATACTAAAATCTACTGGGCCCTTCTGTCCGCCGCCAATTGGAAAGACATCTCTTAATGCCAGAGATTTGTGAAAAGGAAACAAAATGTTTATTTAATGCTTTTCAGGCCTAATGCCACCACTAAAATATCAAAGTCCTTTAGGGTATACACCTACACCCACACAGCGCTCCCTTCTCCCACTGTCCCAACTCCGGGTACCGTAAATCAGGAAAAGAGCACACGTCTGTATTGCAGGCCGCTGGCACCGTCAGCTGTGTCACTGTGCAGGATCTCGAGTTAATCCAAAGTACTGTGGTACACTCTCATGGTCCACTGGCAAGAGTCCTTTGTACCCAGTTCCAGTCAAAGTCTCTGTTGCTTTTCAGGCCCCGCGGCCAAAGGGGGCACCCCAAAGCAGCGTGGGCCTCTTCTACCAAAGCTGCAGGAGTCCGCACTCCACCAAAAGTATGTGGCTTTCTTCTTCACCTGGCTGCAGGGATCTCCATTCTGGCAAAGCTGCGTGGTTTTTCCCTTTCACCTGGGAAAGAGGGGGTCCGCACCCTGCCAAAACCACGTGGCTCCCTCTTTCACCTCACCAAGAGGGGGTCCTCACTCTGCTGAAACCGCGTGGCTCTCTCTCTCTCTCATCTGGCCAAGCGGGGACCCTTCGTGTCCTGGAGCCAGTCTTTTCCAAGCTCCCACACAGGCCTTCTCACTCCGGAGCCCAGACCCTAGTTTCATTCCGAGTCCAAGCCCTTCTCACTCAGGAGTGCAGCCCCTTGTTACATCCTCCTGAGTCCAAGCCCTTTTCACTCAGGAGTACAGCCCCTTAGTTACATTCTGAGTCCAAGCCCTTCTCACTCCGGAGAGCAGCCCTTAGTTCCCATCTTGAGTCCCCCTAGTTCCTTCTCCCTGGCTCCAAACTTGGCCACAGCTATATTTAACATATCTATGAAACCAGTTAAAGGTTATAGATATGTTAAATAATCATTCCAGAGGTTAGCTGCAAAACTGTTGCTATGCAAAACAGCTCTCAATGGCCTGGCTCCATTCATCCCTTCCCCCTGGGGGGGGGGGGCGCAGTAAGGACATCTTATATGTCTCTCCAATATTTCTATACACTTTGAATTCTGGACACCTTTCTAAATCTCTTTTTGGGGGGCCCCCTTGGCTGCACCCTGTATCATTACCATAAAAGGGATCTCTTGATATGAGGCAGTGTTGTGCAGGATTGATTCCATGCCAGTGACTCAAAATTCTGCAAGCTTTTGGATGTATGGGCCGGTGGGGAGGTGCTGTAGTCAGGATATGTTGACAGTTCCAAAAGGATGAATCGCCATCCCCCTAGAGTGGGGGTAGAGTGAAGATAGGTAATCAACCTACCTTCAAGTAGCAGGCTGCTCTACACTGTTATAGGAAAACGAAGCCACCAGACACCGAGGGATTCTGGAGTACAAGGTTTATTATTTAATGTGCACGGGTTCAGAGAAGTCAGTCTCCAAATTCTGAGCCCCGAACAAAGGATTCTTGGGGTTTATATAGCCTATGGGGTCTTCCTGTCTACGTAGCAAAGCGAGATACAGAAGCGGAATGTGGTAATTAGTTCTATCGACGAGGCAGAAGCAGAGTACAAAGGCTAAATGTGAAAATTAGTTCTATCAGTGGGGGTGCTAGCCCCAGTCCTTGTGACTATCCTGCTGTTTGATTTTCCCAGATGGCCGTATCGTTCTCCTAGGGCGCCTGGGGTTTTGGGTGAACAAAGGTTTTCCAAAGCTACCCACATCAATACAAGGGAGAGTACCACATCAAGAATTCATTGTCAGTCTCTTGATATGGCGAGGGTTACAATAGCCTTGATGGATGGTAGACAAGGAGCTCACAGGACAATCATAAAGCAGTAATCACAGAACCTAATGTCAATTTCATGCTTGATTTTTTTAAAAAAGATTTTACTTATTTATTTTTAGAAGGGAAGGTAGGGAGAAAGACAGGGAAACATCAATGTGTGGTTGCCTCTTGGGCTCCCCACACCGGGTTATCAGACCTGAAACCCAGGCATGTGTCCTGAGTGGGAATCAACCAGCGACCCTCTGCTTCCCAGTCCGGCGCTCAATCCACTGAGCCACACCAGCCGGTGTCCATGCTTGATTTTAACATTCACAAGACATGACAGGCACCATTAGAATCCTTATTTCACAGATGTAAAAAAAAAAAAACGGAGTCTGAGAGTAGCAAAATATGTTCATGGTTCCATGGCGTTGACCATAAACAAAAAGTCAGCCAGATATTCCTTCCGCAAAAAGGATTTATTTAGGAGAGAAGAAAGGATGCAATCCCATAAATGCGGCAATAGCAAGCCGGATACACAAAGGAGAGGACATGCTATGGAGGGGAAGAGGAAGTTGGATGGGAGCTATTAAACCAAGGCTTCTCCCCTTAGGGCTGTCACAAGTGACAAAGGACTCCTGCAGGGATTCAGGGATTATTCTTTTGTTTTGTAAATTTGTTTTTAAGAGTGGGGGAAGGAGGGAGAAAGAGAAGGAGAGAAACATTGATGTGAGAAATATGTGGATGGCTTGCCTCTTGCAATCCCCCAACTGGGAACCTGGCCCACAGCCCAGGCGTGTGCCCTGACTGGGAATCAAGCTGGTGACCCTTTGGTTCGCAGGCCGGCACTCAATCCACTGAGCAACACCAGCCATGGATATAGGGATTCTTACCTTAATTCAAGCCTGTTATTAACTTTGACATTTGCCCCTTTTGATTGAGATCTTTGAAAGCATCAATAGTCAGGTCTTCCAAAATCAGCAAACTTTTGTCCCTTGATACCAGGAAGGACCTCTTCTGGGTGTTCTGTCAAATGT